ACTACTGATAACATTATTGGAACATTCTAGAATATTCTACTTGAATAATCTATTTGTATTAAAGCAATTTAAATAGCCATTTTGTTTCAACACTTCTGGTGTCTTATTACTGTTGAGCACTGTCTATTCTATTCTTATACTATGGATAGAATCAATTTCGAAACACCATCACTTGATAAGACACCAGAAGTGTTGAAACAAAATGGCTATTTTTGTAGTGATTTTATAACATATTTATGTTATAATTTTTGAATAAATAATTGTATTTGCTCTACTCTGTATTGAGCACTTTTAAGAATAGTATTTGTTGTTCATTGGAATTTATTCTGTATACACCAATCCTATACTTGAATATTAGCTCCTATTACTGTCGAGTACTGTCTATTCTATTCTTATACTATGAATAATCAATTTCAAATCTGCCCATATTGAGTTTTATTTGCCGGTATAAGTTATATTTTAATAATTGACTAGAATTCGTTCAATAACACTTTCAAACTTGAATATTTTTTGGTTGGTGTATCGGAGTGTCTTTGTCAATGTATCGGTGTTTGTGTGTACGATCACTTGTGTGTACCTTTCATTGTGTATTTTTTTTTTAAGGGTCGCAGGGATATTTCCTGTCTCGTTGCTTTTTCGTGTGTGAATATATCTAAATATGTCTGTGTTTATGTATTATAATCTCATTGTGTATGTATTGTCTTTTGCAAGATGTCATCCTCCCCTGCCTCTGTTTACGATTCAAATATATCTATGTTGTCATGAAGTTCGGAGCAACATTTGATCTTAACGTTTATTCCAAATTAATTTCAATAAAAACAAAATAAATAGAATAACATGCATTTTTTCTTTTTTCCTCTGTAATTTTATAATTTTAAACTTAATATAGATCAAATTTCAATTTTAAAATGGGTAATTTTTCATTTTGGATTTCAAATTTTATCGGATAATTTATTTATTAGTTAGATAAATTTTATTTTAGTCTAACCCCAACATTAAGGCATTAAATAATTATTATAATCATAGTTCGCTGTCAAGTTTTTTGAATTCTTGTATACTTGTATTTTGATTGGTCATTCAGGCTTATGTAACAGCATTTCCCCTAGCACGGGGTGTTTGATTGATTTGAACTTTTTTAAAACCCTTTATTCTACATTCAACACCATCACTTGATAAGACACCAGAAGTGTTGAAACAAAATGGCTATTTTTGTAGTGATTTTATAACATATTTATGTTATAATTTTTGAATAAATAATATATAAAAGATTAATCCCAAGCAATCCACTTAAACATATGCACATTCCCACCTGCAGTAATCAGATGAGTTTTGTGGTAGGCAGGTCTCCTTGAAGCCTTACCAAGTATAACTGCACAGTTCACAGATGGCTCTTACCATTGTTTACCATGTTATTCGTTTACAATAAACCCAAGCCGATGGTGGAAAGAATGCTTGGTTGAAGCATGATAATGATCCAGTAAATATGCTGGCATCTTACATAAACACACAGGCAATTGAAGTATTTTTTGTATAAGCATTTGTCTATCTTGAGAAAGGAAGAGAAATTGTAAATAAAAGCAAAAATAACTAATTAAATAGCAGATACACAAGATTCCTAGTGCCAGTTTTTGCTATTGAGTTTAACTTATTTTTTGCACAAGGTTGCAAATATGGAGCATCCTGTGAGGATGAAATATCCTTACTAAGGAATAATCATCAACCTGACAAACTCACTAATCAAGTCGCCTACATATCTGACAATTATTGTCATCATTATGATTTGATTAAATTCTATTTGAGATAAAAGAATTGGTTGCCAGAAGAAAATTACTGAACACACACACACACATATATATATGTAAGATTTAATAAAAAGCAGATATTTTTATATATAGTGCTCAATATTAAAATAATATTATTATTAAAAATAGTTAATAATATTATATGAAAAGATTACTTAACTTTTAAATATCAATTTTATTTCAACATTGATGTTTCATGGTAAAATTTAGTCTTCAGGGGTTGTGGTTTCAAATGGTATTTCCATTTTTTTTTCTTAATTTCCTGAAAATTGAAAAGAAAAAAAAATGGAAATACCGTTTAAAAACACAACCCCTGAAGTCTGGAAATTTTACCATGAAACATCAATGTTGAGATAAAATTGATATTTAAAAGTTAAGTAATATATATATATATATATATATATATAGGTGCAATGGATAAGTTATCTAAATTATGCAAAAATGAAAATAACACTGACAAGAGAAGAGATGGATTTGTACCTTTCCCCAGGAGTATTGGCATGTAAATGAATATAACAAACCTGACTTGAACCTAAATTCATCTCTCCAATTTTCAATTGGTAACCATTAATCATTACACTGTCCACACATCTAAGATTACAGTAACTGGTATTCCCAAGTAATCACTCATCTAAGTGCTGACCAGGCACAACATTGTTTAACTTTGGTGATCATATGAGAACCAGTGTTTCAATATATGTATTGGTATTGTGTGTATTGTATTTGGTACACAAGACTATGAGTCAAAATGACAAGTAATGGTTGATAGTAATTCAACTTATAAAAAAATTGAGATGAAACTAAATACCATATCATATATACTTGTGTATAAGCCAAGAAATATGTGACAAAAAAAAAAAAAAAAAAAAAAAATGGGGCTTAGGCTTGGATTTAAACATTTTACTGATTTTAACCAATTTCAACATCTATGTAAAGAAAAGTGGCAAAATATCAGGATGATTGTTTGAAAATAAAACATCACTTTACTTAGATTTTACAAGCATTTTACAGAATATTTTCAGTACTCACAGGCTTTATTTAGATTTTCATTTCTCCCAACATGTGAGTGGACGGTTGCCTATTTTCATTTATTAAATGTTCCAATCGATTTTTATCTATACAGATGTTCTGTTAAGGTTGATTTGTTCCGGAATTGGAACATATTTATATAATACTATTTAGACAGACACCATTTTGTGATGTGTCCAAATTTGATACTGTTTATTGTTTTAAGTAATTTTAAGATTACTGATAAATTACTGATCAAACAATTAGTCTAAATGATACTTCAAAACATTTTAGATAACAAAATATTAAAACTTCATAAAAATATTCTCCACTTGTGGGAATTTATAAAACTGTGCCATTTGAACAATGTATTAAATAACTCTCTACTTCAGCTTATACACAGGGTTTTGGAATTTATTATATTGTTGGCACTATTTAATTCAGTTGACTCAGTAATACCAATGAACTGGCCTATATTTGTAGCTTTTTTTCTTTTCAATATAACAGGTTGTGTTATCTTGATTAGTTGGCAATATTTTTTTTTATCAAGTTTCATACTGCATACCAGAGCATTCAGTCTTTTCAACTAAAAAATCTAAAAAAAAAATAAATAAATAAATAAAAAAAAATAAAAAATTAGAAATAGATTTAATTTTAAAATATATTTCAAGTGGAAAATTATTAAACTGGAGATTCATTTGTATTCATTTCTCAAATAAATTTCTCACCAATGTGATTATTTGTATTAATTATGGAAATATTTCAATGTTTATTTACATCATGTTCAGGACAAACTTGCATGTGATTCCCATCAGAACTCTGAATCAAATTTAATGTCAATAAGGAACCTGTGTTCTAAGAGGAGCTGATGTGTGGTGGTCCCAATATATAATGGGCTCACCCAAAGAGGAAACAAAATAGATTTTGTACTCGGTATCACATCAGAGGAGCCAGCACTTGGGTTGGCCTCATAGACACCAGGTGCAGAATCAGGATGTGGATGTCAGGTTATATAAGTGCCTTATTTCCCAAGAGGGAAAGGCCAGAGTCTCTCATATCCTTGTAAGAAGAAGATCAAAGTTTAAAGAAAGTCTCCGAAACCACACACCTTCATGCTGACATTGACAATGTCCAGAAGTGAATAAACAATTTTATCTATGAAAGATTTAGTCTTCTATTAAATTATTGCAGAAGTTTTTGCCTGGTGAGAAAATTAAAAACAAAATTTTACATACACACACATACATTATATATATATATATATATATATATATATAGCTGGCCACACATATTCGAGGATACCTGTCAACTAGGGCAGCTAGCCAATCCCTATTGCAGATGCTCGCTCAGGCACATTTGTGTTTATTCAACACCCACAGAGCCCACCTGTGATTTATACTGTAACTATGCTGAGCAGACCTTAGTTATAGTTTCCAGGAGAGAGCATGTTATCTAGCATGATCAACAATTTGAACAAGGCCAGCATGCTCAAGCCCTCAGTCACAATGACTTGCAACTTGCACAGCTATCAACAGCATTCAAGGGTTCCATCTACCCAATTTCACTCACAAGGCTTGAGTCAACCCGTGGTATGGTTTTCAGGCAAATCAATCATGGTAAGATTTGAACCCGGGTCTCATGGTTAGAATGCGAATGTTCTAACCAATTGGCCACGTGCCCATATAAAAATTTTACATACTCACATAAAGACATACACTAGTCAAGTATATAGTCTCCATCGTTTTGAACAACTGTCTCCCATCGTTGATGCTGTTTTTGTTATGGCAGAGGAGTCTAATAAAAGGTCCCTTTTTATTGGTTAGGATTTTTATTGGTAGGATTTGATTAAAAATTATTTACACATTAATATAAACATGGGTCATGAGTGATAAAGCATCTTCATTTTATATTAACAAATTTTCTTTGTGAATAAATTAATTTGATGACAATATATAAAAAACACTTTTTGCAAAAAAGATTATTTTTTCATTTTACTTTACGTAAGATGTAAACTGTAAAATGTCAGGCTACAGACTTAGTGTTGGTCTTTATACTTACTTCATTTCAAAGAGATTTTTAAATAGTTAAACTTGTTTTTAAATATGCATTATTTATTCTCTGACTATTGTCCTCATTGTTTTTATTATCACTACCTGAACCGATTCAATTCCTGCGCCAGACAATGTATACTTGAACTCGGTGGAAACTAGGTTAGCAATAACTGAACAACACTAAATGAAAACTAAAAAAAATATCCATAGACATAGTGAAACTAGAACAATCTTCCCTATAGATTAAATAAAGGGTTCAGTTTGAAACTCACTGAAGTTTACTTAGATCAACAAACACCAGAAATAGGCATCAGGGCACAATGGCTGAAATGTGCTAACAACAACAATAAAAATGAGGACAATAGTCCAAGAATAAATAATGATAACTCCTCATCCTAGAAATTCAAACAGAAATTGTTTTTAATGTTTCCATATAAACTGGAAATGCCAAATCTAAGCAGGCATGTTTCTATAATCTACCAAAATGAATGGCAAATTATAACTTTATCAAATCCACATTTTACTAATATTTTCTGTAATATTTTTAGCTTTAAACTGAAATGTGTGTCTCATTTACTTGTCATTGTTCTTGGTGTGACTGAGATCAGATGAATTTCCTAACTTATATATATTACACACAAAATTGAACATTGAAGTCAACACTCAGAGGCGACAGGCAGTTTCATGTTTCATACAATCTGCCTGACGATTGTGTCTAGCATGAAACATCCTATCACGTCTGAGTGTTGACTTCACTGTTCACTTTTGTATTTACATATGCTCTGATATTGAGCACTTTATCCCATAAATATAGCACACCATATAGCAACTATATATATATATATATATATATATATATATATATACATACACGTGTATATTTTGGCAGCATGTTTTCATTGAGATGTGTTTTGTTGAATAATTTAGACATGTTCTGTCTATTTATTTTCAATAGGATTCTTTCATATTCATGGATAATCTTTTTGGTTTTGTTATTGAAGTATGAGAGAAAATCGTTGTTTTAATACATATTTCCTTCAGTAATGAGACCAAAAAGCTTATTTGTGAATATGAAAGGATCCTATTGAAAATAAGTGGACAGAACATATTTAAATTATTCAGTGAAACCTCTCTCTCTTCCTCTTTATATATATATATATATATATATATATATATATATATATATATATACACACACACACAGAAGTTCACTCAATACATAGCTCAAGTGCTGCAGAATGTAGATGGTTATAGTTTAAATAGCTGAGTGAAATGTGTGATATAAATAAAAGTGATGATGATAGAAAGTTAAGATTATGAGGATAAGGAGGATAGATAACAATTGCCTCTTGACACAAAGAGTTCAAGATTATAGTAGTCAGGGAAGCATCCATATGGGAGTCTGTTCCACAAAGTCTGGCTACATGCTAAAACCATTTTGAGAGAGGAAAAAAAAAATTTTCCATAATGTGTGTGCAGTTGCATAATCCTTTTCTTCAGCAATAAACTCCACCAAAACAGGCAAATATAGATGTGTGTGTGACTATTCTCAGATGGAGTATATCTGTAGAAGAGACAAAATGAAAAGTCAAGAGGAAAACTATACTTACTATTAACTGATGTGTTTTGTCATCTGACAAACTTTATCAAGGCAAATGTAATGATTTTATTTTGCAACAAGTATTAACAGTTACCCAAAATTTTTAAATTTAAAAATGCTCATAAATATTTATCAGGTTAACTGAAATGTCTAGGCATTTAGACCTTAGATTACATCATTTAGTATATTTGCAAAAGAGGAATTTTTTTTTTTTTTTTTAAAAGATTACTGTTTCAATAGAAGTACAAGATGGATGTTTCTGTTATACATCTCCAGAGGTTAATGGATTCAGCCATTTTCCTTTGATTTTTTTTAACACATTTGTTGTTTATGTTGGTGTTGTGGTAAACCCTCCTACAGTAGAATGAACTCTTCCTCCTCTCATAAATACTAACTGCAAGACTCCTTAGTGAAGAGTCATAGAGCAATGGAGACGCAGTGTTAACCTACAGTTCGGACGTACACCTCTATCTTCTTATTACTAACAGTCTTGCTTTGTATATATCCATTATTTCAATATACTTGTTCAACCTACCTTCGTCTTCCATGTCTTTCTTTCTGGCCTCTAAACAGGCCACAATAGTTGGCTTGGGAAAGTAGTAATTCCTTCAAGAAAGGTAGGATTGGGGGGGAAAAAAACAGGTGTAGATTGATATTTTGATAATATTCATTAATTTACTCAAAAGGAAAATCCTCAAGAGTGTCGCCATCGAATATTATAAGAAATTAAATAAGTGTTTGGAAACTTTCTTTGTTAATTTAAAACAAGGTTTGATTTTGTTTTATGTTAGGTTTCTGATGAGAAATAAATAAAAAGAAAAATACACATTGATTTATTGATTTTTGTGTTGCTTGTAAAAAAAATGCTTTAATTATGATAAAGTCTTTACAGAATCCAATTCAATGTTAAATATGTTACCTAATTTTCAACCTGATTTCATTGCAATAGGTAAACTTCTGAAAGGAATGCATGCGACTCACTTAAGTTACTAGCTATCAGTACTTTACTATCAAATGTAGGTTGGAGATCTATACCTTA